GAGGCTTAAAGAGAACAAATTATCAGGATTCTGAACATTTTTCAGCAGGATTACTCCAAACTCCAAGAAGGAAAATGATGTAGTCATCATCACTGGGGCTGTAAAGATCCTTGTCACAAGCCAGAAACCTGAAGGATCCTGCAAGCTCCATTCTGCATCAAGTCCCATCTATATACACACCCTAACAAAGGCACAGCTGATGGATTAAATCACGAGGCATGTCCCCCTTCACCTCTGCCTGATGCTTACACATGTTTATCACCCATTTTGTTTTGTACAAATAAACATGAATACAAGCCAATATAATGTTGTCTGATTAAAGTCGTTAATAAACATCTGAGGCAACCCTGGGATTTTATTTTCTATTGAGACAGGAACCAACCCTGGTTGATAGAGCTTAAGAAAACCACACACTAAAAATGGGCTGTACAGCTTTTTAAAAAATGGAAAGAATCAAAGATATATGGAGGCACAGTTTACAGCATGGCGGCAACCACAATAGCTTTGTACAATGAGGTCACAGCCACAGCGGGTAATTCAAATGCAGCTTTGACCACTGTCCCAGATATTGATCCCACTTCACAAGAGTACAGCACCGTGACCCTCTCTAAGAAAACCCTCCTACTTTCGCCTGGCTGGACAACCCTTACATGTATCTCCTTTTGTGATTAATGACTTGCCTGTGTAAAACCCTTTTGTAAAGAAGATAAATAAAACTCATTTCGTTGAGAAAACTCCTCTTTATTTAATATCAATCCAATCCAGCAAAGAGGTACGTTGAACTGAACAAACAAAAAAGAAACAAAACAAAATAAAAAACGCCTGATTATTTTTTGTATGTGACCTAAGCCTTAGAATGCTGTATGGGCAGTGTGCCTCACACTCCATGAAATTTAACAACAAAGTCAGGTACATGTTCACATGCTTTTCTTTAATGTTGAATGAAGTGAAATCACTTCAGTTTGGAACGGAGTCAACACAACCATTTGCCTCTTGGAAAAATCTGCCATCTTTTGAAAAATTCTGCCTCCTCGTTTTACCAAAATTCCGGAAGAGAAACTTTTTATTTTTTAAAGTTGGCCTATTTAATGAAGAAAACGTGAAAAAGAAAGCATGTGAAGGCTCTTTACTGTTGCCATGGAATCCACTTTTATATCATCAGCAAAAAAACAACTTGTTTGGAAGGAGCAACCTTTAAAGCAACTAAACACAAACATGGACACCATCAGGCCTAAACACAAACATGGACACCATCAGGCCTAAACACAAACATGGACACCATCAGGCCTAAACACAAACATGGACACCATCAGGCCTAAACACAAACATGGACACCATCAGGCCTAAACACAAACATGAATCACACACACACCCTTCTAATTGACCCTGGCCATCTATCTTCTGATGGTCATCATGTAAAAACACAGTACTTACCTCTCAGTGTAAACAGCACAGCCAGTCGTTTATTTGGCTAACCTTTAAAGTTCAATGTACAATCATTCTGAATGAATGCATGTAACTGACCATAGCATGCCTGGCAGTAATCAATGTGTTTCCTTAGTAACCAGAAGTCCAGAATTGCAGGAGAACAAAATCTAACAGGAAAAGGAAATTTTTGTCTCCTTTGTATCCACATGTGAATTTAAACAGTTTGGGAGGACTGTGCCTTCTTTGAAGAAAATCAACCGCCTTCTTTCTCCTCATTTCTACCCAGTGTATTGGCCTATAATTCATTTTTTCAACAAACAATTTGTTAGATAATCAGTCATGCTGGCCAAGGGCAGGGTAGGGATTGGTTGAGCACCACGCACCAGTCTTTTTTATTATCAATCTATTAATGTCTTTTTATCTTCCTATTTTTTGTGTTAGTCAAGGAAGGTGTGTCTTTTTGATGTCAGTCAGATAGCAAGAAAAAAAAAAGAAATGTGCATATTCTGTCCTATATTTTCCTTGTTTTGAATGCAAAAGTCAGAGGATTTACCAGAACAAATCACAAATTTTTGTCATGTTAAGGAAGACTAACTTTTCACTTGATATTGCAAGTTTTACTGGCTTCAATCTGATGCAAGAAATTCCTCATGCAAACAAATGACAAGTGACTAAGCACATAATAAAAGTATCCACTGATTAAGAAATTCCCCATACAAAGTAATGACAACTAATTCAACACAAGATGAAATTATCCACTGATTAAGAAATTTTAAATTCCCCATACAAAGTAATGACAACTAATTCAACACAAGATGAAATTATCCACTGATTAAGAAATTTTAAATTCCCCATACAAAGTAATGACAACTAATTCAACACAAGATGAAATTATCCACTGATTAAGAAATTCCCCATACAAAGTAATGACAACTAATTCAGCACATGATTTGATTTATCTCACCGTCAAGATTCAAATAAAGACATAAAAGTTTTGTGGCCCATCTTTCTTGACTTATAACAAGCAACTTTAACCTTGCGCAGGGTTTTGATGGCACAAGTCAAGTTTAGGCATCACCCAGGGCAAAACGTGCATCGGATACATGCCGCCTGCTCTCATGCCAGCCTGCAACTTAAAGCGATTAGGTTTACACTAGATCCGTCAACCACAAACGCCTGGACCCAGCATTGAACAAGGGAGAACAGTGACATCATCAGCACAGTGCATTACCAGTTGATGGCCCCAGGCTTTGTCAGTGCACATGCCTAGACGGCACTTGCCTGATGATATATGGCCCCCAATCATCCACAGACAAACTTCAGAGTGCTCCCAACCAGCTGACAGTTAGCAAGACCACGCTTCCAAACACAATTTGTCCCGCACCTTTCCAGCCATTTACTGCTGGGACTGGCGGATGGCTTTGTGAACTTGGACTTTCCAAGTCATCACAGCTACATGTACTACCTACATGTACATTTCTTCTGTGCATGATCATCATCACTGGAGGAGTTCTCCACAGTTCTGCTGCTGATTTGAACACCACATACCAACGGGCTCGACTGACAGGTTTGTCTCGTTGACCGACTTTTAAAACATCTCAACTTCTCCTTCAACCCAAATACCATTTCATCAAAGACGAGGAGGAATTTTCTGTGAGGATGCAATCATTTGAGTTACTGGTAATTGATCGGCATCGCATGCAGTCAACATCAAGAAATAGTCAGCAGAGTCTAAAAGCAAAAAATCTGCTACTCCTCTGAACTGATTCCAAATTCTGGAAAGAGTTGCAAGTTCTGCAAAGTGTTGTAAAAGTTACCAGGGTGAGAGTAACTTTTTGGGGACAATAACTGTATGTCCATCCAGAAACTTCCCTTTGCAACGAATGAACATCACCAAAATTTCTGTCCAATTGAGAACAATGTTGCTTGAGAGAAGTCCCTTTGGCATCAAAAACTGACATCCAATTGAAGTGTTTCTCAACATAACTTCATGGAAATTACAGAGTTTAAACAGGTAAGACTAATTTTCATTGATTTATTTCCAAATTATGGGGCTAAGTTGAATGCTTCTTTTTTTTTCTCAAAAATCTTAGTAAATAAAAGAAATATATAAAAAATATAGTTACGGAGGTTAGGACATTTGAAGTACCTAAGTAGTGTAAGAATTTGAGTGCGGTGACAGAAAATCTAAAAAATTCTAAGAAAAGAAATACTAGTACAATCAATCTTCAAATATTACCAACAAACCAACAAGACTTTTCACCATGTTGTGACCAAATAGAAAAATCTTTCAATATTATGACACTTACACTAAGAACATTTATAGAGCTGGACTTTGTATTTTCCAATCATTCCGTGTAGTTTAACAGAGTCTTCTCAATCCTATGCATGCAAAAGTGTTTGATTGGAAAGATAACACAGCACTCAATCCAACTTGAATGATCTCTCCAATAGAACCCCATACCCTGAATGATTTACATCAGTAGCAAATCATCAAAATAATATCTATTTAAATATCCATTCTTGAGGATTCCACTTGGTTAAAAAGACTCTCTTTTCAAGGAAATCTGTAAAATTCAATTGATAAAACCTTTCAAACTGCAGAGATTAAACAATGATACCTGTAGAGATGTCATCCACTCTAACAAACTCAGACCTACATGTATGTAGGCCTACGTATCACTCTTTCAACAAAACAATATTCACGAGAGGGACGTCTAGTATAATAAACTTAATAAAGATAAAACTCACAACAAAACTGTCCCAAAGTAAACAAATAATGTTGGGAGGGTGAAAAAAGCCGATGTAATATTCATTATTTATTTGCAGAGGAGCGGGGTTCGTGTCTCACTCGGATACATCTGGAACATGAACTACGTGCAGATATGCATAGAATTTGTTAAAGGTCCCCCACACTGTCATTAATTGGGGACTATGAACCATTTACATTGACCAGACTGCGATGTCAAATGTTGCTACCAGCAGAAAGTTTCAGTTCCAACTAATTTTCCTGCAGACCTTGTGCATGAAATGTAAAACCACTCTCTCCTGGATAATTCTTCATTCTGTTTTTAAGATAAAACTTGCAATAAAAGTGTATCAAACATCTGATCTATTGAAGTGAGTGTACAGCACTTTTTCAATGAAACAAAATATGTTAAAATCCAGGAAAACAGCACGATTTCTTTTACTAATCTCGATTCTTGAAACTGTTTCATAAAATTCCTTTTGCATAAAAATAAACAAAAAACCCATGTACAAATATTTAAACTAACATATTTGTCTTTTTACCACTAAATGGTGTTTTCTCATCGCCGACATTCCATTGGTCTGATTCTATTTTAAATTCTATGATTTGTTTTTGGAATGCCCAACAATTATTAGCGCAGTACTCTAAGTGAAAAGTATCCATTTTAACAATTGCAAAAGAGAATCAAATCTGTCCGGTAAGTTTATTAGAATCTTGTTTTTGACAAAGCTGGCCAACAGTATCACGAGTACACAATGGGCACACGATGTCATACTCTACTGGGACATATCAGTACACTGTCTTTTCACCATCTTTGTGGTGACCGAAAATGCTACAGGGGCACACAACTCAGTTTGGAATTTACCGAGAAAAGAAACTGTGCACCAGTAAACCTGGCAAGGTCTACCCAATGTGTTCAGGAAAAGTGTTAGCTGTGAGAGGGGCCCAGCAATTAGTAAGGTCTTGATGTTTTGAACCGTGTGCTCTGTTTGTCTCTAAATGGTGATTTTTTTTCCTTCAAAACTGACAACATGGAAGTCATGTCAACATCGCAATGCATTAACTTTTCAGCAACCAAATATCAACTGCACATGCCACAGTACGTAACTATCAAAAAGTTTACACACTGGCATTTTTTCACAGCAAACATGTTCAAACAAATATACATTTTCCAGGTTTAGGTGTCACAAAAGGGACACTCCAAATTTGAAGGCTAACATACCCATGGGAACTTGAGGTATGCAAACTTTATTTCCACAGTCATGGACCATTCCACTTGCCGATTGACAGACTTTATGAATCATGAAATCACCTTAACAACCCCAGAACATGTCTTGGCCTCTGCACTTTGATGTGGAGGGATGTCACACACTCTCTATGAGGCCAGGGCTGTTGGTGACAAACCTGAAGAAAGAAATGAAGACGCACTCTGGGACATTTCCTCAGCACTTGACTTGCCATCTCCACAGTCTTTAGGCATTTGAACAAATGGAGTGGATTTCACAACAAGCAGACCACGAAGTAAAAAAGATAAAATTATATCTCTCATCAGTTTGAACAATCCCTAATACTCCTCAAAAATTCCCTATTGAACACAGAGGAACCAACTCCACATACAAAGTGCATGTACCATTATCTATCCTTTCAACATAGTGAGGCGTCAGGTTAAGGTTCACACAAAGCACTGTATTAGTTGCTTGTTACTAGTTTCCTAATCCTACCAAATTCTGCAAAATCTGGAATGTGAACAATTTGGCAGGGTCCCGGTGAAGTGCATGGCTTTGCACTTCAATGTACAGAGTTAAGAAAATCAAAACAGCCCATTCAATAATTCCATTTCCAAGCCTCCTTGTATTAAATGCTACGACAGCAGTTATTCCGTTTCTGGATAAAAAGATGAAAGAAGCTACCCAGTATCTAATATTTGTACCAGGATGATCACTCGTTTTCCCTTTTCTTAGGACTATATCAAATATCAAGAATTGTAACTTAGGACTGAACAGGTCCATGTACATGTATTTGTTCATTATACTTACAATAGAATGTATGAAGATGCTTTTCTAATCTTATGGAAGACAGTCCTTTAAATACTTTCCCATTGGTCAAACTAAGACATGCATGTACGTCTAACTCTAGAAACAACATTAAGTGAGGGCATAAACATGATTTCCATCAAAACACACATACGATGAGACAGAAATTGTTTCTCAATCTGTACCATAGTGACTGGTTAATGGGAGACTTTGAGACGCTTGGTGGCAGCAAACACATGGGTCTGAGTATGCGCGCAATACTGTACAGAAGGACCGGTGACGTGTCTGCTGCCACCAGCATCTCAGTCTCCTGTTGGACCATTTGGCAGTTTCCTGGCATCACTAGAGCAGAGATCAATAGACCAACCACGATGAAATCACACAATACTTATGAAAACTGAGCAAGGCATGCTGGTAGTGAAAGAAATGTGTGGGAAAGAATTATTTTAGAGCACTGTGAGAGTACATATGTTCATGTACATGTACAGTGCATTAAAATTGGATGGAAAAAATTCCATTTCACTTTCATACTCACATGTCACAAAGTGTGAAAATCATTTCCCACTTGTGTGAAAAGGTGTGAACATGTTGTCCCACTTGTGTGAAAAGGTGTGAAAATGCTGTCCCACTTGTGTGAAAAGGTGTGAACATGTTGTCCCACTTGTGTGAAAAGGTGTGAAAATCATTTACCACTTGTATGAAAAGGTGTGAAAATGTTGTCCCACTTGTGTGAAAAGGTATGAAAATCATTTCCCACTTGTGTGAAAAGGTGTGAAAATCATTTACCACTTGTATGAAAAGGTGTGAAAGTGTTGTCCCACTTGTGGGAAAATCTGTAAAAATCATTTCCCAAATCATTTCCCGATTCCCATTGTTTACGCATGCAACTTGGACTTTTTGACAAAAAAGGAAATAACAATGTTTTTGAGACTTTGTAAAGTGTTTTTTCAGTTTTCAATGGCACGAGTGTGAAATAAAAGAGTGTGAAGGAAATCAGTTGATCTGAGGAAAAGTTGCATGCCTGATTGTTGGAAAATCTGTGAAAATCTTTGTCCACTTGTAGGTAATATATAAAAACCTTTTTCAATGTTGGCAAGTTTTTCTGAATCACTTTTGTGAAATGAAAATAAATTCCCTAGGAAGTAAAGAGGTGTGAAGAGAATTTCCCATTTGCAATGTACTGTATGTCGAAACCTTTAAGGCCAGAACACACTTCAGGCGACTGTGACAGTCAATCTCAGGTTCCAAACTGCAGCATGAATATTTGATTTGATGTCACAATTTTGCATTCGTGTCCGCTTTCACAGCAAGTATGAACCAACCTTCTGCCTTTACATGTACACCTTGCAATGTACTGTATGTCAAAACCATCAGATCAACATGAGGAGCTTTTTGCTGTATGCAACCATGATTTAAAATATATGCACACATGTTTTGGTACTGCTAGAAGTCAGAGCAACCACTTTCATTGCAGTAGCTTTTGCAACAGGGACAAGTAGCTTAAAAATATGCATTTTTATGCAAGTGATGGGCTCACTGGGTTTATGATTACCTGTACAATGTGGGTGAACCTATGGCTTGCAATGGAAACAGACATGATGCTTATAGTACAGAAATATGAAATGGAAGAATTTGGGCCAAAAAAATCTACTTGAGCGATATCTTATTTCCTTGGTTACCCACAAGTCTTTTGGAAAGAGGCACAAGAGGGCATTGGCTCTTGAGGAAGGGAACCCTAATTTGGGATTTTTTTTCTCACATGGAAAAGTTTTCATTTGTCGATCAGTTCCATGAGAAACTTTTTTTTCATGAAAACGCCACACGGATCAACTCACTGTGTCTGTTTCCATTGTTCTGTCACAGGACCAAACTCACATTGAATGATTCGGCAACTACAGATGGCATTAACCAACAAATCACAAGGCTAGAATCACATCACAAGCCAAGTGGAAAGGAAGCGAGGCAGTTGGCAGCACTCGAGCGATCCAGGATGGAAATGTGGAGAGGAATCGTTGCTGGACTGGGTGTTCTGTTTCTGGCATCACTGAATGATGCCGGAACCGCATCCTTGATAACTGACAAAACATTCTGCGATGCATGTTGCTCTGGACCATCGGGGGTACCGGGGATACCAGGTACTCCGGGCCAGCACGGCGAAGACGGCAAGCCCGGAAAGAGGGGGCCAAAGGGTGACCCTGGGGATATCGGCTTCAAGGGGGAGCCGGGATTGACCGGTGTGGAGGGACTAAAAGGTATCAAGGGTTCCAAAGGCGCCAAAGGGTTCTTTGGCAAGCTTGGTCCTAGAGGTCCACCAGGAGAAATTGGCCCCAAGGGAGATATTGGGGAGAAAGGGATAAAGGGTGACCTTGGAGACAAAGGGGAGAAGGGTGACCAGGGGCCGATCGGTCCTACGGGTGAGCAAGGAGTGCAAGGTCAAAAGGGAGTGAAAGGACGACGTGGTACTCCTGGTCAAAGAGGAATCACTGGGACAAAGGGGAGGAGAGGTGACAGGGGATTCGTGGGTTTACAGGGACCTCCAGGACCCCAGGGGATAGGTATTCAAGGCCCTAAGGGAGAGACAGGCAGAAGAGGAGACAAGGGAGAACCTGGCTTGCCGGCCCCTGAGCTCATGCAATGTGCCTTTATGGTCCACTGCTTCATCTCCAGCGGTGATCTGAGCCATGGCCGAGGTGAGATCATCCCCTTTGACGACATCGTCACCAACATTGGCCAGTACTACGACATCAACCGAAGGAAGTTCATTGCGCCGATCCCAGGCACCTACGTCTTCCACTTTACCACAGACTTTGACAAGGGCCAGCTGCAACTGAAGAAGAACGGAGAGACCATGGTGGAGGCCAAACGTTTCTCCAGCATCGTGATTGAGCTGCAGATGAGTGACCAAGTCTGGCTGAGCATGGCAGAAGACTCCATCTTCAGCGATGCCCACTTCTACCTCTCTGGCTTTTTGCTCCACATCCAGTTTGAGTATCTTGCAAACAACATGTATGTCACTGCTCATTGAAAAACTATCACCAAAGCATGAGTTTGCTAGCAAAATCTGAACAATTGGACGATGAGGTCATGACAACCGATGAACTACTTGCTGGTTACATTTACCAAGTAAACAAATCATCTTCCTGGAATATAATTTAACAGACCATGCAGCATCTCCTCCAGTGTGCACAGCAGACGACCTTGCAGTCTACAATGATATAGCCCAAAATGCGTCCAACAATGGTTGAAGTACATTTGATGTTTATGGACACACCAAGGAGAATTTAGCAATGCATACTTGGTTTATAAACTTGTTTTAAAAAAAACACACATCTTTAAGACATATTGCAATGCCGCAAGCACACAGCTGGTTTAACATTGGTCAAGGAGGTCAAATTTTAAAGATAAACTTTTCTTGATTGATTTAACATTTCTGTATTAATGTCTAAAGCAGAAAAAAATATTTCCAAAAGTGTCAAAGTACTTTGTATAATGATTACATGAAAATCAGTTTTGGCACATATAATGTAGCAATATGGTACCGTACTAACAATTATGTATTTATTACTTTGAGGCCTTTTTTCTTGAAATATCTAGTTACTTCCTTTGTGCCATTTTCATATGATATCTATCTTTCTCCCACAAAAATATGGGCTCCCCAGCTTTTTCCTAATTGGATTTCCTATCTTTGGCTATTCTAATAACTATTATTTATGGTGACATACACTGTACTTGTGCATCCATGGTATGTTAAAGCTATCAAAATAGAAATTTGATGTCTCAAATTTGTTATGTCAACTACTGATTGAATCTGTTAGTTTACAAAATTGATCTGTTATCCACACAGATGGAGGCATTACATGTAACTTGGTTTAAGCCTAGGGTCTGTCATCCAAAGTTTTCTGATCTTGTTATCATACATGTAGATACAAATTGTTACCCTCAAAACATGTGTAGTAAACCCCTCATTTCCTAACCATTCAGAACATCTTCACCACCCTGCCTAGTGTGTAAAGCCTTTCTTGGCTTAAGTCCAACTTCATAATGCGAAAACACTTTGGACATCGAATCCTACTATTCAGAGGATGTCTGTATTTCTTCCTCTTCCACTTGGCCAAGCTCTTGCGATTTTTGTCTATTTCATCCTGATTCTTTTGGTGCCATTTTTTTCCTTCTCTTATTCATGTCTCATTCAATTGGTCTTTATTAACGGACAAGTCTTACTGGCCCTTGCTAAAATGTCAAGCATGTACATGCGGGCTCATAGTAATTGAAAGTGAAACCAAGGCACTTTGTGAAGAGTCTGCAAGCTTGTCCAAATCACAAAGGAACTTGAAGAGATTTAATTGGCTTTGCATGTTACTTGTAGCGGTACCTGACTCACAGCTTAGTGTTGAAGTGCTACTTGATGGGTAGAAGACTTTCTATAATAAAGTGTAGTTGACAGCCTAAACTTGCAAATTTAGCACACAGAAATCTCAACTGCTGCCCAAGCCAATGTCCCCGCTGACTGACATGCATTCTGTTAAAATAATCAGCAGGAGCCAAGATGTTAAACCCAGCTGCTACAGGTATATGCAGGCAACTACATTTGATCAATGACAACACACATGTATTCTGCTTGGAAGGGCGAATGCCTTTCAATCGATGCATTTTCATGGTGCCTCTTGTCCACTCGTGTAAGTTGAGGACAGAGCTCAACAAAACTGAACAGAAGAACAGGAAATGTAGTCAACAGATGGGATAAAAATGTACTTTGAAAAGGAACCCTAACAGGTTACTAACAAATCATGTCATTATGCATTGACAGTGCTACGGACTTGTTCCAACCTGAGTTCTTGCACAACAAGAAAACTTACTTGATAAACCATAAGTTCTGCTATGCAGCATTTAGAAATCAAACCATGTAAGATAACATATAAGTGGAGTGAGTGGTTATGAGACCACAACCAGTTGAACCAGCTTAAGAAATGAACACATACATGTGAAATCTCTTCAAGTATTCTCACTTCCTTTGATCAGTTCGTCTCTATCTTCTCTTTCTTGTCTCTCTTTACATGTCTCCCTCAATCTACCTCTCAACCCAGCTAATCCTCCTGTCTTTCCAGCTGCTTTCCTCACTTTCTTTATGCCTACCTCTAAGTATGGTAACGATGTTCATTTCAGTTCGTGTCTTTATTTAAATAAAGATGGCTTGCAACACAGATACAGTGCAGATACATATTTCTCACATTGAGACATCGATCAAATACACAGTGTATCGTGGTTGGATCCTGTTAAAAATATGACCAATTCATTCTCTGCATTTCTGCCATGAACACACCAGAAATTTGACCTCTTGCAAAGGTCAACATACAACTAAAATTTATTGAGTTCTGAAATTCACAAGAATAGCAAACAAGCTTGCAGCAAAAAAGAAAGCCAAACACCAATACAGTATTAATTTGTCTTCTGTTGACCGAGAAGGAACTAAGCATTAAAAGTTGACTGTAAATAAATCAATTGAAATATGTAAATATCAACATAGGGAACAACCATTTTTACACATTTATTATGAAATTACTGTTCATGTACGTATTAAAGTTTGCATGATCACTATTTAATTTTATGCGGTTTGAAATAAAATCTGTAATACGTAACAGCTGCCGTGGATCTGTGAAATAGCTTCTTTATACGTTTCAGTATAGTGTAGATATGATAGATATTATTGACCACATTTGACCAAATCTGTGAATCTGTGAAATTGCTTCTTCAAATATTTCAGTACACCGTAGAAATGATTGAACTTTTCTTTGAGTCCTTCTGATTGGTTGACAAAACATGGTATATATACATACGACTGCTAGTATCACACTTCACATAATGCGCTATTCCAAGTGTTAGCAGATTGTGTCCTTTTATGTGATGCAAAACACAGAAAAGGAGGTTAGTTTTTAAATTAAAGTTTCCGTTGCAGTACCAATGTTTTTTTGTGATTTTACATGTTTTGCCATACTTAGTGTGTATGAGCATGGAGGCTAGAACTGGATTGAAACCACATAGGGATTTTGGTTTTCAAATAAAAATCTATGTCCATTTTAAGGCCAAAACTGAGAGCTAAATTTTGCTCCATCCATCGTGGACTGCACGAGGAAATAACAATTTTCTAAAATCCACCGTCAGCATGGTTACAATGTTTTGATTTTTGAAAGTGTTGACAAACTTGCAGAAATTTACAATCAATGGGAAAATACTGCTTCCACAACTGGCTCATTTTACTGTATTTCTGTCATACATGAAACAATTTAAAGCTACAAGTGCACAGATTACTCAAAGTGGAGTGTAGGCCATCAAGTTTAATGGAAAATACAGTACATTTGTTTTTCCCCATGTGCTTACAGAACATATGGTATGGACTGTTTGTGTCCCACATACCAAAAGGCCCTGTGGTATGTGGGGGTACAAACGGGATATATTATTCCATTTTCCGCTCACCCTTAGGGGATAACTAATATTACTACGGCACATGTACATGTAGTATAATCAGTACTGACAATCAGTGCCTATTTGTTGACCATAGCTCCAAACGAAGTGACATGCAGGTACACTGTACATGTAGGTTAGCAACATGATTTAGGAAAGAGTGAACAACAAAAGCGATGAGAAGCATCGAGTTGGACCTTTAGGCCAATAACAGTGGGTTCTGAGATGTGCCACAATGGCTTAATCTCTCCTGATCGCGGTGACACAGATTGTTTTCATGAAGGACTGTATCAAAATTTTGAAGCCAGTTCTTTTTTTTGAAATTCAGAGTCCATAAAATCAGTAAACTCTGTAGGAGTCTACATGCACACCAGTTAGGGGTAAGACTACTAGATCATGATAAGTGGTTTCTCCCCTGGGTACGGTACATGTGTTAATTACTGAATACCGATTTCTGCTTGAGCAACAAAACCTTTTCAATTAAAAAGAAATGAACAACTGTATTTCAATAAATATGCCAAGAACCAACCCCCCACCATCAAGGAAAAGGAAAATGTTTTCTTCTTCTTGTATAAAAAAAATCTCTTTAATCATTCAACTGAGTCAATCAATTAACACTTCTATGATTCAAGAACAATGGATGTGCAATGTGTGCATTAAGGTCAACGATACCCCATGTGTATCTAGTAGGACTCATGACACAGCTTTATCTGGCATATTAAGTTCATGCTCACATATCCCATCCTGTTCAAATGATGTTTGCAGTAAACAATACAATGTTTCACAACTGGGCCTGAATCACAAACTGCCTAAACACGGCCAGGTAGACCTCTCCTGACTCTGAGATCAAGTGGCTCCAGCCCGAACCTACCAAGACCAAGCAATGAGCTTCTGTTCCTCTTGTGGAACCTGGATGGTTGTGTTCAGCACATGGGTGAACCAGATATCTGGCCGCCAGTTTAATACAGCGGGAACATTTCCCATGGATGGGGAATGACACAGATTAGCCTCTTCACCTGCAGGCACACCTGCTCTGACCCTGAGACTGTTTTGGCAAGCAGGCATCCATGCGTCAGTAATGTCCCGGAAATTGAGGAGCCTCAGAATATGGACCTTTCCCAAACACGCAACACTGCTGGGGACCTTGGTGGGCGGTCGTAGATGCAGTAGGCAAACTACTCCAGTGGAAAGAACTAAATGGGAAAGATTTCAGCAAAGGATCTCTTCTGAAGTACGGGTCAGATTCAGGTGCCAGCCAGAATTTCAGCTTAATGGGTTCTTATTTGCTTTGATAAAGATCATAAATGGGTGAATTGGCTCCCAGGAAGGGGGAGGTTTGGAGATCAAGGATTTTTAAGGGACAGCTGGACAGGAGATGGGGACTGCACCATTGATGCCCCATCATGCCTTGCACTGGCGGCAAATGCAGGACAAACAATACACAAGGCATAATGAACCCTTCAAAAAAGTTACCTGATCTTTTGTCAAAACACTTCAGACCTCAGCAACACCAGTTTGACAAGTTTGCAAGACGGCAACAAGTAACGAGACATTTGAAAATCCCAAAAGCCTTCTCTTCCAACTTTAAACATCATGAATGAGGAAGGTCCCCTGCAATCTTTACTTGGCTTTTTTATTTGTTTAAACTACACCAAGTCTCTGTTATCCTTCACTGCATTTAACTAAGGAATCCATTCTTGGGATGGTAGCTCCCCTTTTTTCCCCTGGGTTAGCCTGCACTCCAGGGATCACAGCACTAATGGAGCACGGAAAGTTTCTTGTGGTCAAACACTATGCCACAAAACCACAGAGTTCAGACCACAACTCAGCTCATGAACAAACTTTGTAATCCTAGAGTAAGCGATCTCCATCAACCAAGTGTGCATTTATGGGCACATTTCTAGGCACATATGTCATGCCGCAAGTGGGTACTTTATTAAAGTAAAACACTGATACCAGTAACTTGGTTTCTGTGGTACCCAGATATCTGGGAAAAGACTTCAACAGAAAAAAGACTTTACCAAGAAAAAATCATTACCCTAAAAATGCATTCAAATTGCTAATTCTGTCAGAACTGAATCGTTCATTGACTCAGTTGGGCGTAAATAATCAACATTTTCACACATCCCTGTAGCCTAGTTTTCATTTTAACAGTGTTCCAACAAAACCTTTCTTTTTCTTTGTCTAAAGAGTTACTAAGTAATTTGTGATTACAAGTACCCTGTAAAGTCTTATATATGCTGGAAATTAGCACTTACATAAGTGCATTCACTTGATTACACTTTGAAAGTGATGAAACTAGCATTATAAAAGTTGACCCCACCATTTTAAATATTACATCTAATCTTTTAAAGAGCTGATTCAACAATTAAATGTTTACCTTGGAATTGTTAAAACGGCATTTAAAATGTTGAAGTAACCATTTCAAAGATGGTTTTAAAACTTTAAATGCTTGTATCAACACTTTGAAAGTGAAGTCACTGACTGTACGCATGTATACAGTTATGTGTTGGATTTTAGCACTTAAGTTCTTAGAATTTGTATGAAAAGGTCCAGTAATTACAAAAAGAGGTTCCGTACATCGTTCTTAAATTTTCAAAAAACCCTCCTGATATTATAAAGTGAAAAAGGTTGTTTCACACAAAGAAAAAATTTGATAAAATCAAGTTAGATCAGAGCACAGCATGAAATCAGTGGCTGTCAAGACTGTTTACTGAATAATGACCAAATTTCTGAACTAGGTGATGATATTTGTGTCAGGTTAGCATTTTTGCTGGGTGTGCCCCTCTCTCCCACCACCACCCCATGCTGTTCCTGTCCGAAGAGAGTTAGTTTTCCTAAAGAGCATTCCCGAGTTGATCAGCACGACATTTGGCATTGCGATTGAAACAAACCTTGGGGTGGGCATCACAGGGGTGCCCAAATGTACAAATGATGGTACTTAGAGGACAATTAGGCTTGGTTTTCCTTTTTGAAGATTGTTGAATTTATACTGGGAGGAAGCTGAGAAAAGGATGTGAGAAAGAAATGTCGCAACGTGATTGGTTGTCTCCAAATATCTCCAGAGAGATTGCAGGTTTCGTCCTAGGACACCTCAGAAACCAATTTTGGCATAAATGATTCTGATGCAGGACGAGGTAAAATTTGGACAGAAAAAAGCTTTTGAAGGACTTTGTAGAAACTCTGTAAATTGCTGGTTGCTTATCTGGAATATTCATTCAAAATTGCCAATAGATAAAATTGGTGAAGGATCCAATTTAATTTGTCCTCCATGCTGTAAGCACTGTCATCTACAGCTTTGCAAAAGATGAAGTTTTGCTTGCCAAGAATAAGTCAGCCTTTTTTTGAATGACCAGGATGGCCTGTTTTTCAAATTAGGTCACTTCAAAATCAAGACAGAATTTCTAAAGCAATCCTGTTGAAGAAAACAACTGTGTTACAGAAAAGAGTCTAGCTGAAATGGCTCCAAAGCAGGCTTGATTACATAAATTTTATTTAAAAAACTTAAAACTCAACAATTTAAATTACAATGTATATCTGTAGATTCCAAAGGTATGGAGTTCTGACTGAAGCCCTTAGCCATGAAATCTTGGGGGGGGTTACATTTGAAGTTTTGGTCCTGACAGCTTGTCTTTTGCAAGATCTGATGTTGGATTCCCTGGGGTGGCATAATGCAGTATTCCCAGGTTGTGATTACAAAGTGAGTATATGAATCAATTGAATTAGGAGACTTTGGAACAGGGAAGAAAGTGTTCAAATTGAATTATCCAATTTGATGTCAATCCAGATGAACGGCAGGCACTCTGACCACAAGATTTTATTTGGGCTGGATCATTCGCCCACAGAGTAATCTTATACATTTTCAATTTACAGGAAATTTATTTCTATTAACTTTCCCTTTTACAAACTGATTATCTTTACACTGCTGAAAAATCGGGATCCATTCCAAGCAAATTTGTTATGTTACCACTGAAAATCTGCAAGACAAGTGAGAGAACTGCAAAGGTCTATCTCTAATCAAGCTGAAGGTACTTTCCTAAAGTTGATCTGAAAGCAAATATCTGAACCACAGAACTTGGACAACAAGCATTGTTTTAGTGTCACCCTTTTCAATCCTTCTGCCAGTTGCATGACCTCAAAATCCCAGCCAGCGCCCAGACAACAAAGACAAACTCTAGCCCGCCCGTCCAGACAGAGAGCGCACCAACTTTCAGTTTCACATGCAACAAACTCTGTGTGAAACACTGACTTGAACTCATTTCCGACACTGACCATGACAGGCGACATACTGTAGACAAGTACAAACAACAGCCTATTCTATCTATGATGTTATTCCTCCGTGCCAGAGTGTAATCATCTGCTTAAGTCTTACCAGACTGCAGAGTCTGCACGTAAAGTTTCAATCTAAATCTAAAACAAACTCAATGGATACATTTGGGATTGTCATTAAAAGTTCAATGACAAAGGAAGCTTACCTAGATTTCCATGTAAAAAAGGCAGAAAAACAGCAATTATTCGAAGCAGACAATTACAGGAAATCAGACAGTGAAAACAAGAACACTACTGATTATCAACACGTACAATGATGTTACCAGTTAAAAAAAGTTCTATTATAATTCTGTTCATTGTGTTTATTTTCCAGGATGGACATAAAATTGTCTCACTTAACTTCCTTGTTGATTCATTTTGTGTCTACAGAAGACCAAACATGACTGAAAGTTGGTGTGGGGAAATTTCAACAGAATAGCATTTTATTTTCCCTGTAACAGAATTATTCCTGTTTAAACAGTCTGTCATATTTCTCTCGCTGTTTCCCATGTCTAACCTTTTGTCTCTCACTTTCCATGCATTACATCTCGCTCTCCAATAAATCTTAGCTCTGCCTCTCAACAGGTTGAGAAATAAAAATACAAGGAGCATGAAAACCAAAACTTTGGACGTGGTTACTTTTAGGACTTTAAGGATAAATTTTAAGGACAATTTTTATCATTTACAAATTTAAAATGTTTTGGAAAGAAATACACCTTTTAAATTTGTAAAACGTTTTTAAGGACTTGTTTTTTAACACTTGGAAATTTAAAAGATGTAGCAGAGAAATAAATTTTTCAATTTTTTAATGACTTTTCTGGAAGTAACTCTTATTCTATCAGGGGAAAACTCATTCAAACATGTACGGAACTCTTGAGATATTTCAGACTAAAGTACCAGTAAGAAACATAATTGCTAAATTCCAATTAAATCAAATACATGTACATGTAAAAATGTCATTCAATAAAGGTTAAGACTGAAATGAGGACATTTCAAACCTCCCTGTCCAACAACCATCAACTCTGCCTTCTCCTTGACTATTTGAGCCGCCTTGCTCTCATTTATGGCTCCCATTTGACCCATCCACTCATCTCATATTTCTTATCATAGTCCTCTGACATTGTGCCCTAGTTTCTGTCTCTCCTTGCAAGATACCCGGCTAATCCACATTGTAATCCCTGGGCTCCAACTCAGCCTGTGTCTGCGCAGATGTATATCTGTGAAATTACTGGAATGAGGGTCAAGAAATACAGTGGGCAAAGGACTCAAGTTTGCCTTGATGCTGGTAATTGATTTCCGGACATCGGCTTGCAAGAAGCTCCAAGTCTGTGGGTGATCTAACCTTTCATTTAGGATGATGCTGACGAGCATGTGCTCAACATAACATATCCTTTTGACATTTTGATCTTATTTCGATGTTAACCCCTGAAAAGATTTGCTGGACCATTTCAAGTGGCATTCATGAGCCAGGTGCTTAGTTCAGTTGTTATGGTCAAATCTCTAGGCAGATCCCATGGGCCTGATTGACGTCCAGTCAAGAATACCGCAAGCTCTTCTCAGTGAACCTGTCCAAAAAGATGCTCCATCAGGGCCCTTGCTGAGGGATGCAAGTTGAACATATGGTTGGAGATTAGTTACACCTATTTGACTTCTGGAGAGCTTCCAAAAAAACTGTTCAAGGAGGAAGGCAGTAAAGACCTGGAAGAGGGAACCCAAGACCTACATGCCCAAATGATTACCAAGTAATGCCAATTAGATGTTACAGTTCAGGGTTAATCTTAAACAGACCAACAGCAAACCATCAGGAGGTACACAGATAGTTCAGATCAAAATGTCCTGGCGTGTATCAGGGTCATAGCAGTTCAGTGCTGAAGCAGGGATCAGGGAAGGAGAATCTTAGTCTTACTTCAGGTCTAAGAAGGTAAGTCCTTACTTGTTCTATCCTGATGAACAATGTCTGCATTTTGAATCATTCATTCACTGCAGGTGTTATAAGCCCTAATTCAGGTAAGCCAACCTTGATATGTAAACTTTCACTTTTTACCCAACTCTCAATATTTCTCAATAGTCTTAACAACCTGCAATGAAAGCGGGGCAGTGAATCAGTTGACTGCTGCTAGAGATGTTCAATTTTAGCATTAGCAGTCAACTACACATACATACATGAACAACTCGGATAATAAAGTGCATGATGGTCGTCTGTACAATTGTGTTGCCAGTATTTTTGACCAGTGGCACCCTGAAGTTACTTACTCAAAGGTTTAAAGTAGTGAAATATCCAAACATCTGTGTTTCATCAATCACCAGGAAATCAGTAATTCCAATTCTCAACGTGGAATTTTGTTCCGGTTTTAAAGTAACTTCAGTTTCCTTCAAAGTGGATGAATGGATCTCTTCATTTTCTAGAAATCCCTCTTGTATGTTTAAGATTCTTCCCATTTTCCTCAAGAGTTTTTGAGGCAGGGCCCACAGTGGCAGTGCCCCTATCAACCCCTTATTCGGTGGGAATATTTGTGAAATGTAAAAACTTCTCAATGCTTATAATTTTCTTGAAAGCAAATCTCATGAATAAGGATTCTCCTTGTTCTTTCTGTGGAAACACAAATTACAGTAGACTATCATAAAGTTTAAAAAGAATTCTGAACAGCTTGCATTTTCCTTTTTTTTTTTTTTTTGGTCTTACTTGGGTAACCCTGGAATAGGCCTACACACTGAGGGATGCAAATAATTTCTGATTCACTTGAGCATTCTCAAAGCATGACACCGGGTCCTGAGAGAGAACATTAAGAGGGTAATGAACCACATGCCGGTAGCTCCACTTCCTGGCAATGCCATGAATGCATTCTTTGAATTCTGAATGTTTTTAAGCCATGAAATACATGTACATGTATGCTTCTGGGGAGGTTGGGTGTGAGACTTGATGACTCAAGCAGCATTTCCCACCGTTGTCAAGGGAATAACTGAATTACAAGGCTTGGAAAAACATGGTTAAGGGGTAACTCCAACATATCAATCAACATGATGCTGCTCTCAAGAAACTCTTTCCTCAATCAGTTGTAAACCTTAATCCATTTCTGTTGACATAATTTTGATGACAGAATATAGACAGAAAACTATTTGTTTAAGGCATAGCTGAATTATAGCTGAACATTCAGCTGTGCAGCTATAAATTTAGATAACACAGTTTATGTCTATTTAAAAAGAGGTTTGGTACGATTGTTCAAGACTGAAGCTACAGTTTACAAGAGTACCAACAACGCTCTCCCAACCACAATCCAAGTCAGATCCTCTTACAACGGCCTAACCGCAAACATAACTCATCGATTGAGTAAATTCTTGACGTCCTGCTCACCACGGGCAAAAATAGGATAAACCACATTCATGTTTTGAACACGAGGGCATGAATGGGAAGTACGGTAGTCTTCTTTGGGGGGGTCCTGCCAGGGGGATAACAGTAGGACGTGCTGACATGCGGCGTCTGCTGGGAAACTGCAGCGGGTTCATGATGTTGATTTAATGAATCTCGGAAGTCAGTCTGCCAAAGACATCGCGGGGTTTAACAGCCAATGCTGTTAAGATCTAGTGACTAATTTACAACTGGTATCAACTAACCTGTTGATGATTTCAGTATGCAATGGTAAAAATGGTCTTTTAATCACCGAATTCCTCCTCAAGTAGGAGTGTCTGGCTCTAGATTCTGACCTATTTAAAGGCGGAATGTGTGGCTGTATCACACCAAGCCAACTGTATTTGTTTCAGTCACCCTCAGAGTTTAGTCATGGGGAACTGTTGCTGATGACCAACACATTCTTTATTTTTCACAGTCTCTGCAAAAATTCAATCAGATCTGCTGTGAAACTGGCTCGTTAAAGTTATTATCTCATGGCATCCAAAATTTGTAAACTTTTAGATCAAGACAACATGCTACTCAGAAGCTGTATCCTTAATTCTATAAAGGCTGATGCCATCCCAGAGAAAAGCTGTCATGCCAAGGTAATGTCTCAAGGGATTACTAGGGAATAAGATAATACCTCGTGTCTTTGGCAAAGTCCTAAAAATACTTTTGTGTTCTTGTCTAATGCATACACTTTCATCAGGAAGAAAGTTATGCAAGATAATAATGCAACTTTCTGATTATTTCAACATACGGTTAAACACTGTTGTGACTAGTTTCCATGCTCTGCTTTTCTCTCAACAAACAATTGCAGACATAATCACTTAGCGTCTTGCTACACTTTTCCCCTCTCCAACAAACACGCATCCCTCTCCAAAACGGTCGGCTGAAAAATCCCACAGGAAATGTTTTCAGTCTTCATTCAATTTTCTTCATTCTGTTCAAACAGCTGTCTGGTGGCAAACATTTGGACTTAGTCAGGACTTTCTTCCTTTTCTGATACAGATGCCCCTAAACAAAGTAACAAAATAGGACAAGCACTGGTCCATTAAGAGCTTCCACTTTGTGAAGTACAGGTATAAAATCTCAGCTAAAGGGTGCCAAGACTTATCCTCTTGCTGTCCGGATTTCTTCTGCAGCTATTAACAGATTTGCTCCAACCCGTAAGGGTGTGGGAAAAAGGTACATTGGAATTACAGGATTTAAGACTATTAGAGCTAATGATGTAATATTCAGGGAGGTACTGTTCTAAGATTACATATTATGCACAATTAGTAGAGTGTTATTATTTTTGCTCAGGAAAAGACATTCCAGGGATGTGTGTTTAAAACAATCTGTGCTAAGCTTGATACATTTGTGAACCTGGGAACAGGTCCACTGCATGCAGGTAGTGCGAACTTGTGTGGTCTAAGCCAAGTCAACACAAGGTTCCCCCCTCTGAAAAAGTTTGAGAAGCATTTAGTGGTTGGCTTATTTGTTGGAAATGAAGAGGAACAGTCATGGAAGGCACGATGAAGGCACGATAAAAAAAAAATGAGTGGGAAGAGTATTGTGAAGTGATTTATTTCCACACAAAAACAGGGGAACATTCACGGTAGGCATTGGTGGAAAAAAAATAATGCATGCCTCTGAGCTGGCTGATAGCATGTTTCATGTACATGTAATAGCTGGTCCCCTCCCTCCATTGGTAACTGTACACCAGGTGTCCTGCACAAATAAACCACTCTATAAATATTCCCTTTCTAATGCTGTTTTTCCAACTTGAACCTTACTAAGGTTAAATTATCTAAACATCAACTTCAGCATTTGGAGAGTCTGTCAAGCTTTCGTTCACAGCGATCCGGGTTCACCAAAGACATGAATCCATGTGCACTGATCCAACTGAATGCCGGATTCTGTATGTGCTCTGGCTGAATCCACAGATTTGTTATTTTTAGCTTCCAATTATAACTAATGAACCTAACAAGTGATGCAGGTGGATTTGAGAAAGTTTTCCCACAGACAGGAAAAACATCTGCAGAACTTTACATATATGGGGGGTCCACTTTACTATTAACGATTAAAGCAAACTTGAAGTAATACGAATATGTGTATGTACATATGTATCAATGCATTGAAAGTGCATGTGTGAGAAACATTATCCAACTCCCTAACAGGAAACAATCTTAGCGATCACATTCTTTTCAGTTTCCTTTTACATTCACAAGTTTCAATAACTGAAGTGGAAAATTGCAAAGCTTTTGTTAATTATTCAGAAATATACTGGCAGCTGAGAATGCTCTTTAAACACACTGAACAACTGCATTGAGACGCACAGGGTCACTTCTAGCATACATACAATAACTTATTTCAAATAATTCAAATGCATGAAGATCTTGTGGATGGCTTGATAAAGTGCATGTGACTGACGACAGTGATGATGTAAACACTTATGGCCACAGAATTCCATCATGGATGACTTTTTACAAGTGGTTCTTCATCTCAAGAGCCAATTCAAGCACCCCTAGTAGAGACTGCTGTGGTGGTGATATAGACACCCAAATTGGTGACAAGTGCAGCTGTAACAGAAGGTTATCTCTATCTGCTTTGAGCTTAAGTGCACCCTCACCGGCAATAGAAAGACAGATGGCACTAGTTTTCTGACCGGATTCCTGCTGACGTTCAGCGTTGCACGCAATGACCACACATTCCAGACTAAATTCGTTGAGAGTACTCAGCGTGCTCCGCGTCAGACACACATAAACTCACGCAAATATGAAGAACTGTCAATTTCATTTCAAAACACGCCCTTTTTTGTTCCTGCTCAGAGCAGATATATGGAGGGACCATCTTGAGAAGCAAACTGCACATGGTACATTATCTTGCTATGAACAACAACAACAACAACAACAACAGAAAAAGCAATTGTCTAAAAGAAAAACTTGTATGTTTTGTGATTATCAGTGCCCAGTGATTGTACAAATGCAAGTACTTAATTAGAATCAAATACAGCTTTAATTTTATAGTTGTGGCATAGGACTGCAATAGTAGGTATAAGCTCTAACTTCCAAAGTACTATCTGTGTATACGTTCCTTGACTACATCAATCCATACTTTAAAAAGCTAAAGCATGCATACATACATTCTCCATGTAGTATACGCTGGACTTGCCTTACCAATGGAGTAGCAGGAATTGTAATTTCATGACAACATCTCTTAAATCTTACCCACCGGCACACAGGGTAATGTGCTGACAGTGGCATTAATGCTCAGCCCATGTTTGAAAAGCTTAAGAGGGCTTCCAAGTAGACAGCATGCTAGTAGGCTTTGCTTGAAGTCCCTCAGACTCCAAGGAGTGCTAGAGGAATG